CATCCGGTCTATCTCTTATATGAATATACTGTAATCGCCTGTAACTCTGTACAATAGGTTATTTAGCTACCGGTACCTACGGTTTGATAACAGACGGGAGAACTCAAACTGTGATCTGCTGCACTATACAGAGTGTTACAATATTGAACATAGTTTCTCAAGGAATTTTTTGGCCAACCCACTCGCGATATTTATTTAACCTATTAAATTTGGTATAAAATACTGTTCATCCGTTAAACAGATGGGTAAATGTCGATTCTAATTCGGATCTCAGACTATTCGTCGCAGTTTTCTACCTGGTTTCAAATGAAATTTATGAGCAGGAATTTGAGTTGTAGTACGAATGATGGTATACCCATGCTTCATTAGCCCATGTAACAGTATCACGTACAGGATGTTTGGCTTTACAGTGGCCGAATAATAATTCAACGTAATATAGCGAGTGCGTCGGCATCAACCAACAGTAGCAGACAACACGATGTATATGAAAATGCGGTTACGGTAGTCAGAGATGATTTCATTTCCTCGCTAAGATTTATGGTATGCGAAGTCAAAAACTTCTGCAGAATATGAGTGATATGATAAACATCGAACTTTGACGCTCCCAAGAATTTCCTATCCTTAGACATACTAACATTCAAAAAGGTGATTTTGGACCAATTTTAAGACAAAAAAACTCATATGAACGTATGTAGTAAACGTCTTCTACCAATGGCGTCCGCAAGGGTTTTTCATTAAATATTTTTAAAGGAAAAAAATTAGTAGGCAATTGCTTTCTCTTGCCATTTTTGAAATCTCCGACCTTTTGATTTTCTTTCGTCCGACGCATGGTTTTCGCAAAGGAAAATTAAAATCGTTTTACTTGGGATATCGTTTTTCTTCGTTTTTTGGCTATTGAATTCGTTTAATATGAAGTGCGGTATATCCGATTAGATAAAAATATTTTTGGAATTCTCATGCATTTTTGAACAAAGATCACTTACTTTCCTTCTCTGCACACCAGTTACCGTATCATGCTTTTAGCCGTTTGACCCTGAAGTGAATCGAATTTTATTTTTTAAGCTATAACCATGCGTCGGTCGGAGGAAAATCAGGAGATCAAATCTGCTCAGAAACGAATGAGAGTTTTAAAAATGGCCTCTATTTAAAGATAAAGTAGCAGCGTACCATTCTTTCACCAAAAATACTCAATGCAAAGCCCACGCGGAAGCCACTGGTAGAAATAGTAAACTTGTTTGTACATCAGAAAATGCTCCTAGATGCGTAGACGATATGTACCAAATTTCATAAGTATCACTGTTACTATAATATACATATTTTTTTCTGAAAACTTTACCGCCCTGTATCATGCATACCGTCATGTTTTCTTTTTCTTAAAATGGGTCCGAAAATCGCCTCCTCTGTTCGCCATGTTTTTCTAGGAAGTATGATTGTTATAGTTATCCAGGACATGTAACATCTAAATTCAAAGAAGCTGTCAGTTAGGCAGCACCTTGTTTGTCTGCGAAAGGTTGGGAAAGCTCGAAACTGGAGATACTACAGACGAAAATATGTAGATTGACCTCCAAAAGTTGATGGTTTTCAAGATACAGTGTGTCAAAGTTACAATTTTATTTTATATTTTTCCTTATTGCTTGAAAAGAATTTCAGATTTTTGCATAAAAACTCGGTATAGGGAGGTTTTCTAGTACGAGAAGCAAGAATCCGTTATATTTTATGGGCAAACTTCTAGAAGGCGCTACTTACCACTACTTCGGTAAATAACTTATCATAACTTTTTTGTGCTACCCTGTATACAATAACTGACCGAAAAGCATTATTTTCTCGTAATTTCACAACAAAAAAGATTTACTTGTTAGAAGTATCTCAAGCTAATAGTTTTCGATATATTTGTTTCTAAATGTTCCAATGCATTATTTGTACCATGTTGATAAAACATGTTTATAACATAATCAAGTTGCTATGGATAATATCTGAGTTGCGTTCCTATAGTTGTTAACAATAACAAATTAGGATGGCAACAAAACTAATAAGCGGAAATAACAACTACAAAAATTGTTCCAGCTTCGAGATTTCCAAACCTGTATATTTAGAGCTTTTCCAAAATACCTGCAGTCATAATTTTGAAAGGAATTCAGTAAGGCGCTTCTCCAGTTACAAGCTACTGCAGTTATAGATTATTAACTAGCGATTTGATATTGTATTTTATTTACATTGCTACCTCAATTTTATAACATTACTTTACTCTATGTAAAATTAGACATAAGGTGAAGCTCATGACTAAATAAAATAGTTTTAAGTTGAAGATTCTTTTTGTAATTGCTATTGGTGACGGTGAAAAATGAAAATGCCAATCCTCATCGAATTGAAGTTTTGTTTTTTTATATTTATCTCTATTTCGAGATACATCTATATCTGCCAAGAAGTTAGCATATTTTTCTCTTCTAGGTTTGAGGAAGCATGAATTAGTTTTTCGATTTCTTAGTGGGAAGATTAGTGAACCATGAATTAGTTTTTCGAATTTTTAGTGTGAAGATTAGTGAAAGTCTGGCAAAAATTGAACCTCGAAAATTTTGTTATGTTGCTTCACATGATTCTCTAAATAAAGCTTAAATATTGAAGTTCTGTGATATGTCTTGTCTAAATGAGAGAGAGAAAGATTTTTCAAAATATTACAAACAGGAACTTTATATATAACTACAAATGAAAGCTAGTTATCGGCAAAAAACCTGTATGTCACGGACTGACCTAAAAATGTCACGGACTGATTGCTGTGGCGGCCTGTTTGTCAAATGACTCAAAAACTTGCACCTGTGAAGGTTATTTTTTATCTTAGTTGTGGTTATATTCATTTTTCGAAGACAATAGACAATACAAAAAGGAGGCACTCGTATATGTTTTGAGTATGTTGTAAATGGTTTGGAGGTGGTGCTTAAAACAAAAAGCAGTATGAAGTATTTTTAGCCATGTTTGTTGCACAAGTCATAGTTTATTAACCTTGTGCTCAAGAGCTCAAGTATGTACTTGCTAATAAATACATTTCTACAGGGTGGGCCATTTAATGTGGAAGCATTTGTTTATAAAAAAATTCATTAAAAAATATTTTTTGTTGTTCATTTGTTGTAATTTCTTTTCAAAAATGATATCGCGCAAATGGCCACCTCTGCCCTTGATACCCAAATGTGCCCTTTTTTCGGCATGTTCCATCACGTTGGTCAATGTTTCGGCGGATATGGCAGCAATTTAGCGTATACCTTGGATTTCAAATAGCCCCACAATACAAGTCTGATCGCGTCAGGTGATCTCGGTGGCCAGTCAAAATCGTCATTTTTCGATATCAGTCGTCCAGGGAAAATGGTCACAATAAATATTGATTGTTACTTGAGCTGTGTGGCATGTGGCGCCGTACTGCTAGAACCAGTAATCGTCCATGTCATTTTCACAATTAGCCTCAAAAAATTCGTTATCATGGCTCGATAACGCTCACCATTGGCGATTACATACCGCACCAAACAGTATTTTGGTCATAATTAATTGCATAAAACCGACAATTTTGTTTACTTACGCCTCCATGTAACGAAAAATGTGCCTCGTCGGACATGACGATTTTTCGCCAAAAGTCACCTTATTTTCGGCCATTTCAGTTCTCCATTTAGCAAAATCAAAGCGACATGGATAATCAGCTGGGCTTAATTAATGGTTCGTACGGCTTCCATATTTTCATCGGAACGTCTTGTTTGTTGTCTGGATATGTTACTGGCATTACTAAGATTACCGGTGTTCACAAATTTTGCGCATAGTGTTATCAGCTAGAACACCTTTAGCTTTATTTTATTAGGAAACGCTCCATGATTAAAATTGTACTGAAATGACGCTTCCAACGCGATATGACATTAGTCGATATGACAACTAATGTCAAAGATATAGGGTTGCTTGAAGCTTCCACTTTAAATGGCCCACCTTGTATGTATCATAGAGGCAGTACAATGCCGAGATCGTATAGTTGATGGGCTTTTTAAGCTGCTTGGTGTGTATCTGCCATGTCTAGATAGGATGTGAAAATCAGCGTATTTATGTAATGTTAATTAACTGCTCTGGTATCTAAGCAGCCTGTATCTAGCTTATCATATCTCACAAAAGATGCATAAGTGCCCAAAAGCTGTATCACCGTTGTGTTTCTATTTATCTATAGATTGGAAACCAGTAAGCCATCGTTCAGGTATAACTTATTTGTTGTTCTACAGTTATCAATACTGGCCTAATATGTATGTAGTTGGTTCAAATAGCCGATGCTAGTTGGAAATTATACATTATATTTCATAATAATGTCATTATCAAATAAGTTACGCGGATTTTTGATGAATTCAATTTTCTAAAACAGCGTCCCATGTGGAATGCGTTTTCTATATATGTATAAATTATATATATATATATATATATATATACAGGGTGACTTCGAAGTTGAGTCATTTATTTTAACAGTGAGTAGATCTGATCAAAAGAAATGTTTTTTTCCTTTACCATTTTTCTGGTAAAATTAAAGTAACAAAGTTATAGCCCTTTGGAAGTTTGAGTACCGCGCTGTCTCAATAATAATATCATGTACTCGTGTTTGGCAACAACAGATATAATCCGCCTTACCGGTTCATCGCATCGGAAACAAAAAAGCGAAAGAATTTGGAACGATGTTTTTGTAATTAAGTATTTTACTCAGTTCAGTTATACATCCAGTTAGTGTCTGTCGGTTAGCGTGTGAATAGTGTCTGTTGCGTGGCTCAAACGAAATAAAAAATGGCACATGTTTATGCGGATCGGTTTCCCAATCGAGTGCAACCAACCCCTCGTGCCTTTGTTAATGTAGTACAACGGGCTCGTGAATCAGGTGACTTAAGACCTCACAGGGGACCTCACGATCAAATACAGGTCCGCACTGAAATACTTGTCGGGAGGATACTTTATAAAACAAGGTAAAAATTTTTTTTTATTTTTTTTTATTTTTACACACATATTCTGGTTTATCTTCCTTCTACAATCATTATCTGAAAATCAATGACTCAACTTCAAAGTCACCCTGTATATATATAATATAAGCCGAAATATGGAATTCTATCTTTAAGGCTCTCTGGGCAAGGACTCCAGGCTGGTTGAATGTACATACGAAGACATAATTACTCAGTCCATATAGAGTGAATCCTTACCTATGTTGTACATTAGAACGACTTTAACTTTAGTTGTGAAAAAATTGATTTCATATCCAATTGTTGTTAAAGATGTTGCAATAGTAAGTTAACCACCGTACCAAATTAAACGTATCAACTTGATTGCCTCACACTCCTGCATACCACTTATATCAACAATTCATAGTTCTCCAAAGAAAAATTTACTAACTTGCGAGTATGTTATAACTTTTATTCACTTTGATAGCTACATATTAACCTATATTGTCTGCGTGCAATACGTGTGTTAGAAAGAGATAGGAGCACATCGTTGCCTAGCAGCTGGAATACGAGGTCATGGATGCCAGCGCGCACTCTTTCTGACATCCATATTGCAGGCTTCTCTCTCGTATACATTACAAATTTGAACCTCACCGTATGTGAAGATGACGAAAAGAACATTACCCTAAGATTTTTGAAAATAGGTGCATTGACCGAGGAATTAACAGAAACAAATAAATTCTGGAACATACTCGTAAGGCTAATTTTCAATTCTACCGACTTTATGTTCAGTGATATTCGTACCTAATCGTAACATGTAATTCTAGGGCAGATCAAAGTGATGAGCCTTCGGTGATTGGATATTCCTCGATGAAGTGCGCTGTAACGTACGATGGATCTGTACTATGTGTGCCGCCCATTCACATTGATGCTTTGTGTAATCCAGATCTCTCAAAGTACGTATAAAATAAATTTACCAGACCAAGAAATGAGTTGGGTTATTCTTTATCTAGGCAAAACTGCTTTTTCAATAGCTTAAATAGATTGTCTGCAACACTGGCTTATTGGGGGGAACCCCAAGGCCTAATACGTTTTTTGATCCTACATAAATATTTAGAAAGCTGGGCATTCTATAAAAAAGGTCCAAACAGTTTCAAAAGGGCACCATTCTGGTGACCTTTACAATGACCTTGGCTAAGGCATTCAAAGTCATTTCAAGGAATATTTTCAAATAGGACCCCTTTTCCACATGAGAATTGAAAACAGGAAAAAATGTCCTTGACTATCGATATCAATGCCACGCCAAGGTCAAATCAAGTCATCAAAAACAATTTGCTCCAGCAAAAATGTTAGACAGAAAAGTTCTAAGTTTTATAGGGGTCACCCAAAGGTGACCTTGACCATGATCTTGAACATGACCTTGAAGGTTAGGTCAAAATTCTCAAAGGAAGCCTCTCATTTTTATACTTGAAATGGGAAACGCAGGACATCGTACATTCGTATATATCTCAAATAACAGCTATGCTTGACACTTCGATGCAAGATTTCCTGCTTTTTTTATTCAAAGTATGAATAACATAGGTTTTCTTTGGACATTTTGATTTGAGCTTGAGGGTAATGGCCAAAGCCATAATCATGGCCATAAACCTCACAACTATGCTGCCCACATTTATGCTATAGCAAATTGTTTCCGATGTCTTAATTTGTATTGGTCAACGTCGTGGCCAGAAGATGTTCTGATGTAGAATTTGCTCCTCTTTTTAATTCCGATATGAAAAGGGGTAGTGAAAATATCCACATGACCTTGAAATGAACTTAAATTTCTTAGTCAAGGTCATTGTCAATATCACAATCACTTTGTTATTTGTTCCCTCGAAACCCTAGAACTTTCGTTTGAAACTTTTTTCTATGATGCGTAGTTTTAGAAATATTTAGGTGGGGAGATTAAAATGAGTGTATAATGCATGAGACTAAGTCAGATTTATAGAGCTTCCTTGAGGCGTGAGACTTCCTTGGAAACCATGGATATCAGATATCTCCTTGGAAACAGTGCTCCCTTAGAGAATGTTTAAGGGAGGATTTAACTTTTCATTTCACAATATTTGTCATCGATGTCAGAAAGATTTTTCTCTGCTGGTCGTATCAATTTAGCATTTTGATGATAACATTGAGACGATTTGGTTTATTTGTGCTAAATATTAATAAACAATGCAAAATGCTTTCTTGAATTACAGCGCAATCACACAGAAGTGCTAGGCAGCAGGGGTGGCCCCAGTAGTAGACTCTTCGGTCTCCTGATCAGTCGCCGTGCGCTGTGCGGGTTCGAATCCCGTCCCAAGAGCAATTTTTCTCTTGGCAATGGATGTTGTGATTGTCCGTAGGTGGTAGACGGTTTCCGACTGTCGAACGCAGAGGCACCACCCGGCGGATCTCGTAGGCGGGGCCAGAATGTGTGCATGTTGCATGTGCGTGTGGCGTTCCCCCTTTTCCATGTATCCTCCCTATAGCCCTACGGTACCCCATGGGTGTTTAGGCTTTAGGCCTTCGTGGTGATTGGAGTATAAAAAAAGAAGTAAAAAAACTGAAATAGGCAAAGAGTTGCAGTGAACTGCTCTGCTGGTTGCAGATTGTAGATTACGTCTGTCTGATTCAACTACTATAGTATGTCACAAAAAAAGACCCAAATTTTATATTATAAATTATTTGTGACAACGAAGCAAAAATTAGTTTAGCGAGAAGATGCATTGGATCCAGATATTAGACAAATTTAAAAAGATCATCGAAAATAGAAACATATAGCAGAGCAGAACAGTTCAGTACAACTGGTTGTCTATATTCAGTTTCTTACTTCTTTGTGATTATGCTGTAATTCGAGGAAGCAAAAATATTATTTTGTTATGTTTGTTCATATTTAGCACAACTGTATCAAATCGTGCAAATTTCATCAAAATAGATACAACTACCAAATAAAAATCTTTCTGACATCAATAACAGCTTGTGAAATGAAAACATGAGCCCACCCTTGAACGTTCCTCAAGAAAGCGGCATTGTTTTACTTTTTCCAATGAGGGATCCATTGTCTCCAATGAAGCCTCAAGCCTCATGGAAGGTATATAAATCTGATTCTAAAAGACCCCAAACACTCATACGCTGGATTTCCCTTGAGCCCTCTAGAACCTTTTTCTTGATACGCCAGGGGCTGACATGCATTTTTCAAGAATGATGTACTCTATTTTTGTTCGTCAAAGTCTGAGACTCTGTTTTGAATGTTGACGGATATGTGTTTTCCTTCCATATCAATACCAAATTAGTCCTTTTTATCTCCTGTTCGTAGGTATCCCTTCGATAGCCACAACTGCACCTTAAATTTTGGCTCGTGGGTGTACAAAGGCGAAGAAGTGGACATCAAACTAGTGAACAAAGTGGTCAATGATGATGACCTGGTGAGTGACGGAGAATGGACTGTGCAATCTTTCCATACTGTCAGGAACTCTGGGGTATACAAATGTTGCCCCAACAGCACTTATCCCTCAGTCAGTATCACATTTACCATCAGGAGGCTTTCTGGAGCACATGCAGCTACTGTTATCATACCGTGTATAGGTAGGTTTGGGGTAAACGTGTATGTCGAATACTTTAATTGGCAACTGTTCACATTAGCTAAGGATTCAGACATTCGGTAGGGCATAAAAAATGTAGATTATTGGTGAATTCGAGAAACGACCTAGAATACAATGGGCTTTAGGTAAACCATACCTATACCTACATAACCTAGGACATATCTAGTTTAAAAGGTTATGACTCAGTGAAAAGTTTTTGACTAAACGTGACCGAAAAAGTTTGTGGCATTTTTAGCTCTCCCAATAATCTTTTAACCTCAAAATTTTTTCTTAGTTGCTCATAATCGGACCGATTCCGGAAACCTGTCGGCATACTATTAAATTTGTGTAAAAATGTTGTGGATAGATGACATACAAATTTGACTTTATGCTTATTAAACATATTTTCATAACAGAACGTCGTGTAAATATTGTTAGTATTTTTTAAATATTCCTTAATATACTTGCACTCACAATGATTGATTCTCAATAACTGTAGAAGAAACAGTTTTTTATTTTTATACATTGTCAAATGTTATTATGCTATCAGCATATATTTTTGTACTTTCAGTGGCGGTAATACTAACCTTTGCTTTGCTGGCACTATCCCCACTGGATAGAGAAAGGCTAATTATGTCATACGTTAATTTGGTAGTCCAGCTTCTACAAGTGCAGTTCATTTCATGGCAGATACCGCTTCGAGGAGATAATATCCCACTTCTGAGTAAGTTTTATCAATTCCGCGTTTTTAATGGAATATTTTCAAAGAAACTGTTATATTTTTTCTATAAACGAGAAATGGCCAACTTCCAAAGTTCGTCGCTATAACGTATTGGGTTCTAGTGCACAGTGGCTCAAAAGATAGCCAAAACTAGATCGATTCATTAAATTCCAAAAAAAAAAATACACATACATATTTTCGAGGTAGCTGATAATGAATCCATGTGTCAAAATGGATCTAATATGGCGGACATGCTTGCAGAAAAATGTTTGAATTGAGCTGAAATTCAAATGCTGTATGTTTTTGTGGGTGCTAACAACGACTGTGATATCGATTTCTTCGATATCAAAATAGCGGAAGGTGCAGTATGCTGCAGCTATAATTGATACATAACATTTGTTAAGTGGGTGACTGATAAACATGCTACTATTCGAAATAGAGCGGATTCTAATGCACGTTTTTCCTAAACTTTTTTTGAATCTAATAATGCACTATCAGATAGGGAAAAATCATTAATTACATATCTTGTCATATTGCGTACAGGAATAAACTATATAAATAGTGTAATCAAGCATTTGATTAAAGCTTAATTATTGTGTTTTTTCAGTTGTATTTGCTCGTGATTCCGTTTTGCTATCAGTATTCGCTATCGTATTCACAATACTGTTCAAGAAAATCATGGAAAGGAAAACTACACCGCCATATTGGATCTCGAAAATTATATCTTTTGCAGTTGCATGTCCAATAGGCCAAATAATTTTGCTCAAAGACTTTTCTGTGAAGGTAAGGAACTATTCTTATTACGATAAAATATTATAACAAGAGTTTAGAGCTTAGAACCAATATTAACTCAAACAGGAGGAAGATTAATGCAAAGATGTGAAAAAGTAGGTGTTACGTTTAATAGATGAAAGACTCTTGATTTAAAGGGTCAAAGTTAATTTTTTGGAAACATTAATAAACATTTTGGTCAAATGCAAATGTTGCAGCCTTCTCAAAAATTTAGCTCATCCATGCATAGCTCTTATGGTTGAATACATGACCTCGTTGTTATGAATCGTTCAGAAATTACATGAATGGCAAGAAAGTTTAATTACTGATCATATCACAATTTGTTGCTAGGGAGTAGCATCTGCAAAGGGTGAAGAAGACGGAGCAACGATTGTGAACTCAGAAACGACGAGCAGCTCGCAAGACTGGGAAATTTTAGGAAAAATTTTAGATAAGATATTCTTTATACTGTACATTATCATTTATTTTATTATGACTGTAGCATTCATTCCTTGAACTATGTTCAGATAAATTGTTACCTACCTTTATGCTGGAGAGTGTTGAAGAAATACACAGGAGCTAAAGCCATTTTTTTTTTATTTTGAAGCATCCGCGAAGGTAGAACCTAAGTGCCGTAACTATTAGAATGGTGCAACAGACATTTAGTTGATCCGATTTTTAAAATAGCTAAAGGTTTGTAGAACTTTCTAAACAGGAAAACTTCCCACCATGGATTTATTGAAAACCACTGATTAATATGAAAAAACGCCGAGACACATGAGAATATTTGTCAAGGGGGACAACTTTTTAACCAACAACTACTTCACCCACTTTCACCCTCTGCCCCCCATGGTTATCGTCTTAACATTTTAAATGACAAGGGGTATCGAGTAATAGCTTGTATGAAAGGTCTTTCAAAGTCCTTTATTTTGATGTTAGATTTTTCAAAATCGGTCGATTTGTTTTCAATACTATTAGAAAAATCTTCATTTATCTTAATTTGTTCAGGTAGAAAACAAAAACAAACGAAAATATCACTTTTCATTTCAGTAAGTGTTCAAAATGTTGCCCGTTATTGGCCAAACAATGATACAGGCGATGTTCAAATTTATCATGGCTGCTTTCGATGATGCGTTGACGAAGGTCATACAAACTTTCAGGTTGGGGAGTAAACACAATAGATTTCAAATGGTCCCGTAGAAAAAAGTCTAATGGCGTCAAATCAGAAGATTTTTCAGGCCAATCTACAATGTGTTTTGTCACCACATACCGATATCTAAGGGCGGTATTTTTCAGCTATTTTTATTGACATATCCACCCCCCTACAATGTCCTACCTCACCACTCTTGAAATGGCAGCCATTTTTATTTTTACGTTACGATTACGCTGGTACATGTGAAAAAATTGTAATAGTTGAGTACATATAGTCAACGCCAAACAAAGTGGCGCGCACGTCATCAAGGTGGGTGTGTTGAAAAATTTACATTGTTGCCAAACTTTTTGTAAAATAATAAAATTTATTATTTACATATCTAGGTTTATAAGCAATATTAACCTCAAATGAGAACAAAAATAATAGTATAATAAAATTATAGATCTGTACTTGCATAATCATTAAGTATGACAATTATTGATCAGATGACACTATGAAACTACCATATTTAATTGATAGCTTAAAGGTACTGAATCAAAATCCAAATGGGGTCCTCCAAATTTTATGCATGGTATTTATTTTACAGAATTCATACAGAAAAATGCATTCTAAAATTAGGTAAGCTACTGGTGTAAGCTTTTTCTGTACAATAAAGTTAGTCGGAGTTTCCTTCTTCAGCGCTGTCTGAATCTGAATCTTCATCACTCTCAAAGTTGATTATTAAAGGTTCGATGTCTGGTCGATCAAAAATTCGTTCTCTTTCATACCATTTAAAAATTTCTTGCTCAGTATGTCGAACACTATTTTTCCACATGTCTGGGGTAACAGTTTGTAGAGCCTCGTTCCACATATCCAAACAGTCTTTTTCACTGTTACCATCTCTACCAATATGTCTGTTATAGTAACCTTTTGCTATGCCCCAATTTAACTCAATAGGGTTAAATATACAATGGTAAGGAGGCAGAATAAGAACTTTGTGCCCATGTTGTTCCGCCAATTCATCAATCACGTATATTTTAGGTGGTTTGTTTCTAAAAAGCTGTTATTTTAAGGGGGCCTCGGTTGGCCGCGTTGGTCAGAGTGTCGTGCTATTGATCAGCCGGCCGGCCGGGCCGCGAGTTCGAATCTCGCCTTCGCCATGGATGTTGTGACGTCGTGTGTTTGTCTATAATTAGAGAAATATAAGTAACACACATCTGTGGCAAATGGATAACTTCCAATGCCAATTATATGTAAAAAAAAAAAAAAAAAAAGTTATTTTAAGAATAGGAATAAACAAAAGAAATATAAACTGTCGACCAAAATATATATAATTAAGAAGCATTATGTACCGAGCAACAATACTCAATAGCTCTGTTTTAAACATTGTGTTTAAAAATGGTATGTTTTGATTTGTCAACCAGTCTTGGATATTTTTTTTTGTCCATGCATTGTTGGGCACTTTGTTCAATATCATGCTGTGATAAGGGGCGTTATCCAGTATAATCATAGATGGACTCTCCAATTTTTCTAATAACTGATGTTGAAACCATTTCAAAAAATTGTCCTGGTTCATCTCTCCATGGTAATCGCTCAATTTTGTTTTCGAAGAAAATATCGCTTCACTACCCTCAATAAACCCATTTTCATTTCCAGCATGTAATATAATGTATCTAAAATATATTAGTTTTAAATTTTATAGTGCAAATTGTGTAAAAGTACATACCTTTTACCATCTGTTTTAATAGCTTTCACGCTTTTTTGGTTTCCATTTTGCCAAGAGCGACCTATGGTCCCATTTTGAAATATCCAAGTTTCATCGAGGAAGACAAACTGGTATAAGGCCTCAACCTTGGCTTGATTGTATTGCCTTAGAAATTCCACCCTTTTCAAAGCTATACTTGGTAGTTCCATGAGCCCTCGTCGCGGATTGTCCTTAAGCCACTTAAATCCAAGATCTCTAAGCAACCGCCTTAAAGACGTGGCACTACCATCAAATAATGCCCTATCTCTTAATCGAGACCATAAAGTTTGTATCGTAACTTGTTCTTCTGAAACCATGTGTAATATGACATTATAATTTAGTTAACAAATTAATGCAAATTTCTGATAAGTTATTATAATAAGATCTTACTTTTGTGATACATATTATAGATCACTTCTCGAATGGCACTTGTATCCAATGTCGCTGTGTTGGTTACACGTTTAATATAACTCCGCTTTTTCTTGGGCGATTCTAAATTTGCATCACTTTTCACACCCTCGGAAATACGACTAACTGTCCTTAAACTAATTTTTAAAGCAGCAGAAACACGCTACAAAAAATGAAATAAAATTTCACTATTATTAATATACATTACATATAATTATTAGTAACCTACCTCTTGAACAGCATTTAAAGGCAACAAAGGCCCGTTGTTGTCCCTTTCTTGCTCAAAGTAATGCATTAACGAGGCCACGAGTTCCTTACACCGACTATTTAACTGTTTGGGCATCTTTATATACCAAAATTGCCTTTATCTACTCGTAAAATGAATAATTTTGTTTTGAAACAAACAGTTGTTGATTTACAGTATGCGGGGCCAAAGGATTTATAAAGATTTGAAATGCCACAAATTGATTCAGTGTCAAAATTAATACAAATGTCAGTTCCCAGTTTAAATAAGTTTCAAGGTGACAATGTGTCAACGCTGCGAAATCGGTTTAGTGCGTTTACATGTCCATAAGTGATTGGAGCGTTTGCAAAACATTTTATTTCGCATAATGCGTCTAAATTTATCAGAAAGCAACTTATGTGATATTTTAATAACAATGTTTATATGACTATTAACCATAATAAGAGAGTAATGACCATTTTACAATTTATATATCACATTAATATGAAACTGCAATAGAGCAATTGTTTGTGATAGAAGCCTAGGCATTAGGTCGGGGAATTTTTATCGTGATGACGTGCACGCCACTTTGTTTGGCGTTGACTATAAGTGTCACAGAATGATAATAATAAATGATAAAAACTTGTATTGATACCAACCGTCAAACATACTTAAAAATAGGCAAAAACAGAAAAAACAAGCAAGAAAATTGATTATTTTGTGCATTTCCATACACCATTCAAAAACTAGTCTGAGAAGTTGTACTTTTTTGTGCTAATTCTACAAAATGACACCAAACTTGTTACCCTATGTTAGTTATTTTAAGTACAAATATTGCTTAAACATGACTTGGCAAGCCTCCCCGATTTAGGTAGCGGACCTAATCCAGCATTCCTGGCATAGAGATGAATGTACTGAGAGTGTGAGTGAGACAATTTCTCCCGAAAGGTCTCGTTATCGAGATGGTAACAACCGGTTATTTGTTGTCAATGTCATAGTGAGTGTTTTGTAGTCCCTCGCCACGCGTTGTGATCATACGTCCATTTTGTTACCATTGCTGAATAATTTCACTATCAGTTTTCCGAACGTATTTGATTTGGAAGTGATTTGTGACTGAACATTTTATTAGTCATGCCTAAGTCTCTATCATGCCAAATCGTCCACGTAATAAATTTTCAAATCACCATGCTGCTGATATGGTGCTTGTTTACGGCTTTTGCAATGGAAATGCAGCAGTTGCTGTGAGAGAATATCGAAGACGATTTCCTGACCGAATTACGCAAAATGCTAGGACCTTTGTTTTTACATACCTGAGACTGGTGGAAAATGAGATTCAAAGGCCAGTAAGCAAACCGTTATCGGCTACTGTCTCCATAAGATAAAGAAGAGATTCTCAACATGATTACCCGAGATCCGAGAGTTAGTGTGAGGAGGATCGCTGCAAGACTACACTTGTCACATCGGTCGGCTTGGAGAGTCCTTAATAGAGAAGGTTCACATTCTTATCATTTTAGAAGAGTTCAGGATCTTCATGAGCCAGATTATGCAGCAAGAATCATAGTTTGCACCTGGTTTCAACGGCAGCTGCGTCAAGACCACAACTTTTGGGAAAAAATTCTGTGGACGGACGAAGCAAAATTTACGAGGCAGAGGATCATAAACCATAGAAACGACCACTTCTTCGGAAAATCCCCATACAGTTCGACCGAGCACTTTCCAACAGGAAACGGAGTCTCAGTCGGCCCAGTTGAGCTATCACCAAGGTTAGATGCCCAGGGATTTTTGGAGTTCTTGAGGATCGAGTTTGCAGATCTACTCCATGATCAGTCACTTATTAACCGACGCAACATGAGGCTGCAGCTTGTAGGAGCTCCCAATGAAGCAAAAAGTTTACTGTCATGTGTCGGCGAAATGGAAAGAGCTCATGGAAAGAATCCATACCGCTGCGAACGGAATTAGAGCTGACACGGATATAGTCCGCCGCTCAACACGACACATGGTTTTAAGAGCAACAATGTGCATAACCAATAATGGAGGACATTCTGAACAGCTTCTGTTCATGTCCAAACTCTTCATGAGAA